GCTCTGGCCTTGACACCTGCCTCTGCTACCACCCCCCCCCACCCCTTCCAGGTTGTGGAGCAGCTGCTGGTCAGTGGGCAGCCCCTGCTCATCTTCCTGGAAGAGCTCCCTGGGACCCAGGGGCCTTGGCTGTCAGCCCTGGGCCAGGCCTGGCTGGGACTGGTGGTACAGGCGGTCCAGATGGGTGTTGTCCAAGATGCTATGCTGGTGCCGGTGGCCATCACCTATGACCTGGTTCCAGATGCATGTGATACACACCATGTGAGACCCTCCTGTCACTTGGGACTCCAAGTGGACACCAACTCCAGAGAGGAGGCACAATGTATTATGTCCTATGGCTGAGTGCCCCTCAGCGCTAGGGTCAGGGAGGTGCAAAGGAATTCTCCCCCTACAGTCATCATCCTGTGTTGCCTGCCCAGCTGATACAGAAATCCTCTGTTTCATCCTCAAAGACCCCACTAGGGAGGGATTTCTCGTTTCATGGATGCGAACATGAGCTTGGAGAGGTCATGGTCATGTACCAGTTTGCAAGATAAAGTTGAGCAGAGAGCATTGCTCCAGGTGAGCCAGCTCCCTTAGCCCCTTCCTTCCTGCAGGCCACAGCCCCACGGGGGCTGTGGACAGGAGCTCTGGCTGTCCTACGAAGCCTGCGAGGCTGGTGCTGTGGCCCCCAGGTCTGTGCCCGTGTGCACCTGGCCCAGCCTTTCTCCCTGCAGGTATGATGTCTGTTGGGCAAAATTGGGAGGATCTGTGGTCTGTCTTGGGTCTTCTGGCAGCTTGGCCCTCAGAGCCACTGCAGGGATAGTCTCGCCTACCTCCATGGGCTGTGTGCAGGTGTCCTGGTGGGCAGGTAGGCCACCTGAGAGTCTTGTTATGGGCAGGAATACACCATCAATTCAAGAAGCTGCTGGGGCAGCAGGCAGACCATGGAGCAGCTGCTGCAGCCCATTGTGCTGGGCCAAAGGTAGGGGTAGCGGCAGGGGAGGGTGTGGATCTTGGGGGCCCAGCAAGCAGTCCTTCAACACATACCCATAGACATTACCAGCTCCAGCCTCCTCTCATCAGATATTCTGGGTCATCTAGAACAGAGCCTGACACCCCCTCCTTACCTCTAATCTCAGTGTGGGAAATGGCAGGGGCCGGAAAGGGCTGGGGAGCCATCCCTGCCCTGGGGCTGAGCTGGGGAACACCCTTTTTTGAGAAATCTCTGGGCTTCCCCAAGATTGTCTTTGGGTTGGCTCCCCTCATCCTGTGATCTGTCTCTATCCCAGTACTGTCGTCCCAGACACTGAGAAGGAGCAGGAGTGGACCCCAATAACCGGGCCCCTTCTGGCCCTCAAGGAAGAAGACCAGCTCCTGGTCAGGAGGCTGAGCCGTCACATCCTGAATGGTGAGGGGAACTAGGTCCTGAGCTGTTCCTTCTCTCTGGGTTAGCAGGTTTTAGGGGCCCTCCATTCCAAGTGGGTTTCTGTACCTGACCCTCCCTCATGTGTGGCCCACCTGGGATATGTGAGGAGTGAGGCAACCGGGGAGAACATGAGGGAGCCCCTAGTGAGTGCCCACAGATGGCTGCCTGCGCTGCAGAGTATGGGTTGTGCAGAGGGCCGGTGCCTGGATCCAAGGTCACCCTGGACCTGTCTCAAGTTCACCGCTTCACCTCTCTGATCTGCACTGTAAATGGGTGACTGACTGGAACAATGCACGTGAGGGACTTAACACAGTGCCTGGCACAGAGGGACTCTTAACAAAACGGTCATTACTACTGTCTTCTTAGGTGCCCCTCTGTGGCAGAGACTGTGGTTGGTGGATAGGCCTATAAGGCAGGGAAGGTCCCTGGGCTCCCTGCCTGTCTCCGTAGACATTTGGTAAATGCCAGTTCTCCACTGGGAAGGTGGTCCCCAAGCACCCGGCAGGGAGGGTGGCCACAACTCCCTGGGGTAGAGTTGTAGGGGAGGCAGGCTGCTGCCAGGGAGGCAGGCTGCTGCCAGGGAGGCAGGCTGCTGCCAGGGAGGCAGGCTGCTGCCAGGGAGGCAGGCTGCTGCCAGGGAGGCAGGCTGCTGCCAGGGAGGCAGGCTGCTGCCAGGGAGGCAGGCTGCTGCCAGGGAGGCAGGCTGCTGCCAGGGAGGCAGGCTGCTGCCAGGGAGGCAGGCTGCTGCCAGGGAGGCAGGCTGCTGCCAGGGAGGCAGGCTGCTGCCAGGGAGGCAGGGGAGGACTGTTCTTAGCCCAAACATTGGGTGATGGAACCGGCTGCTGGACCTAGGCCCCTGACCAGCATTTCCCAACCCCGGCTACAGCCAGCGTGGCAAGCTCTGCAGTGATGAGCACAGCCATTATGGCGACCCTGCTGCTGTTCAAGCACCAGAAGGTAGGCAGTGTGACAGGGGAAGATGGGGGGTGGCTGGGGAAGGGATGTGACCCTGCTGCTCAGCCCTGGTGCTGCCCACCAGGGTGTGTACCTGTCGCAGCTCCTGGGGGAGTTCTCCTGGCTGACAGAGGAAACGCTGCTGCGTGGCTTTGACGTGGGCTTCTCCGGCCAGCTGCGGTGCCTGGTGCGGCACACTCTGAGCCTGCTGCGGGCACACGTGGCTCTACTGCGCATTCACCAGGGGGACTTGCTGGTGGTCACTCGGCCCGGCCCAGGCCTCATGCACTTGGCACGTCTGAGCGCCCAGCTGCTGCCTGCCTTCCTGAGCGAGGCCCTGGGTGGTGAGTCCTGAGGGCTCAGGGATGGGTTGGGTGTCAGATTAGGGGATGGCTTCCTCCTCATGCCTGGCCCCCTCCCCAGCCTGTGCAGTTCGGGCACTGCTGGCAAGCAAGGTGCCACCAGAGGGGCCCTGGGAGCTGCAGGGCATCGAGCTGCTGAGCCAGAACGAGCTGTACCGCCAGGTCCTGCTGCTGCTGCATTTGCTGCCACAGGACATGCTGCTGCTGCAGGTCAGGCCTCCCACCAACCCACTTGGGCCTGGCACCCCTTCAGTTATAGGAGGGGCTGTGCCTGCCCCTCCCCTGCCCTTAAGCCCTGCATGGCTCTCCTGAAGCTACATGGACGCCTTTCTCCCCAGCCTTGCCAGTCTTCCTACTGCTACTGTCAGGAGGTGCTGGACCGTCTCATCCAGTGTGGGCTTCTGGTTGCTGAGGAGGTAGGCAGGGCCGCTGAAGACAGAGCCCCTGCCTCTGCCATTCTGTGCCTTGGGACTTGGTGGACCATCCCAGCCCTGGGCCCATGTAGCTATCATGACAGGGCTGCACAATTGTACCGCTGAGGGTCTCTGCACTGCTCCTGCCCCCACATTTCTTATCCACAGGGCTGTGGACCTTGAGGGTGGGCGCCTATTTCCTCTCACCCTGCAGGTTGGCTCAGCAGGTCTTGTGTGGCCCCAAGAGGCCTCTTGAGGTCCCTAGGTCTGCTTTTACTGGTTTTCCTCCATGTGCCTGGTCTGCCATGTACCTGATCTGGGGGCTCAGGGCTGAATCTTGGCCAGCCTGACAGAGACCAATGGCTCCTCCGGCTCCCAGACCCCAGGCTCCCGGCAGGCTTGTGACACAGGGCGACAGCGTTTGAGGGCCAAGCTGCTGTGGAAACAGAGTGGGGACTTTACTGATAGTGACAGTGACAGCGATGACTTCGAGGAGGCTGAGGGCCGGTACTTCAGGGTGCGTTGGGAGAAGCCACCAGGGAAGGAGGCAGGGGAGACAGTGGGAGCTGCCCTGACCTGGTCTGTTCCCCTCCAGCTCAGTCAGCAGTCTCGCTGCCCCGACTTCTTCCTCTTCCTGTGCCGCCTGCTTAACCCGCTGCTCAAGGCCTTCGCACAGGCTGCCACCTTTCTCCACCAGGGCCAGCTGCCTGACACGGGTGAGGCCCGAACTCTCCTGGCCATCCTTAGGGAGGGGCTGAGAGCTTAGGCTGTGCCTGTGCCAGGCCTGAGTCTCCTCTGCCCCACAGAGTCGGGCTACGTGGAGCAGCTGTTCCAGTTCTTGCAGGCCACTGCCCAGGAGGACGGGTTCTTCGGTGAGTCCCAAGCAGCCAGGTGGCACCCAGGAGGCAGGGGCTTGCTGGTGGTTGCTGCCCTCTACTGGGCAGTGACAGCCCCACTCCAGGAAGGAGGGCTAGAGTAGAAAGGCCTTTAGGTGCAATCTGAGCCCTGCCCTGGGTGGTTCCTTCTTTTGACAAAAGAGAAGCCTATGCCAGTAGCTCTCTGTACCCACTAGAGCTCAACTTCTTTCTTTCACCAGAATGTGCGGATCCAAGTCTCGCCATCAAAGCTGTCTGGACCTTCAGAGACTTGGGGGTGAGCGGAGCCATTCTCACCCTCCTCCTATGCCCCCTGCCTCCATCTTGATAGAGCTGCTCAGGGAAGCCCACCTATGCCCACCCTGGGTCTTCCCCAGTGTCTCCCAAGAATAGGTGTGACAGGGGTTGGAGATGGGATGGTTTCCCTGTCCTTGGTCTCCCAAACCACCACTTTATTCTACTCCCAGGTGGGGTACTGGGGACGGTGTAAGAGGCTGCATTGTGTTCAAACCCTATGGCCTAAGGGGCCAGAGGTCTCACTGCAGGTTTCCCCATGGTGAGTGCTCACAGTCCTTTTCCATGGCACAGGTGCTGCAGCAGAGGCCCAGCCCTGCAGGCCCCATGCTCCACCTGTCGCCTACATTTGCCAGACAGGACAATCAGGAGAAGCTGGAACAGTTCATCCAGCAATTCATTTGTGGCTAGAACTGTGGGTTAAGCCTGTGCTGAGACTTCTCAGCCCCAGAACACACCAAGCCCTGGAGCCAGAGGCTGCCCATAAAATCATTGAGGTTTGATTGTCTCACTGCCTCTTGCTTTCTCCATCCTTTGGTGTGATAAACTAGAGGCCTGGACTGGACAAGTCCTCTTTCCAAGCCCAGCAGTGTGATTTGGGGTATGTAGTGTTTGCTCTCCTTCCCCACCCTGTGGCAATGTCCTATCTTGATCCCTGAAACAAACCGTAAAAGACAGGCAGAAGCCAAGCTATTGACTTAGTCTGAGAAGTTTATTGAAGAGGAGAGACTTCCCACCCCGCCCCCCACCCCAACACACACCTAGATGAGGAGCCTTGAGGGGGCAAGCACTGGGCCTTGCCCTATACAGTGAGAATGGATGCCCGCCTCTTAAGTCCAGGACCTGCAGCAGGAGCCATCACACCACCTTGTTGATGATGACACCCAGTTCTTCAATCTCACACTGGACTTCATCGCCCTTCTGCAATGGAGTGGTCGCCAGGTTGTCAGTCCTTAGTCTGACACACACAAATCTACACATACATACACAGGCTTGGGTTTCTAAAGCCCGAGCCACACCTGTCAGCCTCTGGGTCCTTCTCCCTTTCCTCCTTTTAGCCAACCTACCTTGAGAAAGACAGGAGGTTTCCTGAATACACCAACACCTGGGGGGGTACCCGTCAGGATGATGTCCCCGGGGTAAAGGGTGACGAACCTGGGCAGGCAAAAGGGCCAGGTGAGACCAGGAGCTGAGGGGCCACAGCCAGGGATGGAGGGCTCGGCTCAGCTGCAGGTAGCTGTGGTGGGGTAGGGCTTCATCTCACTTACTGGGAGACCCAGGCTATCAGCTCTTCTGTCTTAAACACCATCTGATTGGTGTTGCTGCTCTGGACCACCTCCCCATTCACCCGGCAGCAGATCTTTAAGTTGTGTGGATCTGAAATGCATAAAACACCACCTTGGGCCTCTTCCTGCTCTTCCTCAACCCTACCTGGATGTGTCCCAGACCCTCCAGGGTGAGGGGAAAAATGGCAATTTTGCCTTTAAAAATGGACGTCTATCCACAGCAAAGGCTGACAATAATAAAAAAGACTCGGCACCTGTAATGCAAAAAGGAAACTGCAGGAGCAGGGCAGTGAGCCTCCTGCACCTGACTGGCAGGTGGTGGCTCACCAGTAAGTGTCCTGGTTCACCACATTTTTATCTTAACTTTTGTTTCACACATTTACAAACATACCCTCTTAGAGCAGCCAGAACACAATAACTTCACTGTTGACGGCTAAACCCCCCGGACACACACCCCAACCCAAATGGCCATGCTCTGCCCTCTGCACCATGGCCTTTCTTCCTGGCACCTGGTGCCCTTGCTACTGGTAGCCAGTGTTGCCCTGGCCACAGTGGCTGGGCAAGGTCCTGTTGGTCCTGTCTCCCTGACAGGAAAATGCATGGGCTTTGTGACAGCCATTCTCTGTGATGCTCAAGGGCCAGCCTTAACTTCCTTCCAATCTAAAGACTCCCAGATGGTGGCAGCTAGAGAGCCTAACCACCATGAGGGGAACACTGTTACTTGTAATTCACTTGATGAATGCAGATTCACCACCTCTGTGGCTGTGGTCCTCTAGAGGGTGAGGGGATGTGGAAGAAGGCCCACTGAGCCCAGGTTGAGACTTGCTCTGTAAGGAATCAGTGAAAGGCAGCTGGGGAGGGGGCTCCCCACTGAACTGTCCCCACACTCCCATTTCCTGAGCGTTGCTATTTCTTTGCTCTGACATATCCGAGCAGAGCAAGATGCGTCATCATGGGTGCTGTCCGAGACCTACCTGCTACACTGTCCTTGGTCACCAAAGCAGGACCCAGGGGACAGAAGGTGTCAAAGGTTTTTCCCAGCAGCCACTGCCTTCCATTGCGTCTCATTTGCCAGTCACGAGCACTTACGTCATGTGCCACAGTGAAGCCAGCCACATAAGCCATGGCATCTGTGGCCTATGGGGGCAGGGGATTTGGCCAGATTAGAGGTTAGATAACAGTGACACCAGCCCCCATAACAAAGCCTTTATCCCAGGCTAGTAGCCAGAGCTCACCAAAAGTGTTAGGCCAGGAACAAGGCAAGTGCCCAAGCCGACCACTTCCTAAGGCCAGGGATAGTGGGTACCACCCACTCAACCTCACCTTGATGTGCTTGCCTTTCTTCCCAATGACCACGGCCAGCTCCACTTCCCAGTCCACCTCCTGCAGTGGGAAAGGAGCAGTAAACTGCCTGGCCCTGGGCCTCTCCCAGTGCTGAGGAACTGCATGCATGTCTTGGGGCCTGGGCCCCCACCAGTGGGGTCAACTGCTGGCCCACAGTCATAAAACGAACCAGAGGGGCAGGGGGCATGACTTGTACACCCATAAACCTTGGGCAACGGCAGGCAGCACCACTGATGCAGGTACAGTTCCCATGGTGACTAGAGGAGCAACGCTAGTCTGGGGACTGAATTTAAAAGTCATTCTTGCCCAGCCGGCGTGGCTCAGTGGTTGAGCGTCAACCTATGGACCAGGAGGTCACGGTTTGATTCCTGGTCACGCCGTATTCCTGGGTTGTGGGCTCGATCCCCAGCGGGGGGCATGCAGGAAGCAGCCAATCAATGATTATCTCTCATCATTAATGTTTCTATCTCTTTCCCTCTCCCTTCTCTACAATCAATACAAATATATATATATATATATATATATATATATATTTTTTTTTAAGTCACTCTTAATACTTCCAAAAAAGGATGGATACCAAGTAATAATAGCTAATCCTACTGTGTGCCAGGCGCCATTCTAATGCTTTAATGCATTAACTCATTTAAATGATAAAAAGATCAACATGCCAAAATAAAGGTGGGCAAAAGGCTTGAATAAACAATTCCCAAAAATACACAGGCCACAGAAAATGAAAACATAATCAGCCTTTCCCATTTTAGCAAAGTGCTACAAAAAAGAAACAATCTAACTTTTTAAACTGGCTGCTCTTTGGAATGGTCCAGAGCTGCTATGAGTACACCTGACATTAACTTTGATCTCTAGCATTGCACCCCACTAGAAAGAACCAGGTTCCCTGGAGAAATGGCTAATTCCAGGTCTAATATACTAATGAGCCTGTGCTAGACAGAAAGCAAGTAAGTGCTCAAAAAGTGATGGGGCTGAAGGCCAACCTGAACCCCCCACTGGCTAAACAGATCATTTGCATGTAAAAACTGTAAATGATGGATTACAACATGTTGGATAAAAATCAAATTCATGATACTAAAGGAATGGAGTAAAAAAAAGGAGGCATCTCTTGTTCACAGAATGCCAGCTAATAAAGAATAGAAGGCATGGTGAGAAATCACATTTTTCTAACCCCCAGGGCAATAGAGTAAGGTAAGGATGACCAGGGAACCCTTAGATGAATCAGTGGGGCAATAAGATAGTCCCATGGTCTCAAACAACTACAGACTGCTTAGTACCAGAGAAATGCACCTTCACAATGGAGAGGTCTAATGAACAGCCAGTAAACCAAGTGATCAAACTTTAAGCACCTGACAGGAGTCTCCCAGTGGGACGCAGTGTGAGGATACACACATCTGTGCTATAGACTGCATGTTTGTGCCGCTTCAAATTCATGTCTTAAAGCCTACCCCTCACTCAATGTAATGGTATTTGGAGGTGGGGTCTTTGGAAGGTGATTGTCATGAGGGCAGAGCCCCCATGAGTAGGATTATGCCTTTATAAAAGAGACCCCAGAGAGCTCCCTGTCCCTTTTTACCATGTGAGGACACAGGGAAAGACATCTTCTAGGAACCGGGAAGTGGCCTTCCCAGACACAAATTTATCAGTGCCTTGATCTTGCACTTCCAGCCTCCAGAACTGTGAAAAATAAATGTCTTTTGTTTATAAGCCACCCAGTATATTTTGTTATCGTAGCCCGAATGGACTGAGACACTTGCGTAGAACTCTTGACAAAAATGTTTAACCTGGATCTGATCATGAAGACACAATCAGACAAGTCCAGACCGTGGGACATGCTGAGACAACTTGTGTCACGACAGACAGAAAACGGGCTCGGCCAGGGTGGCTCAGTGGTTGAGCATCCACCTATGAACCAAGAAATCCCGGTTTGATGCCTGGGTTGCAGGCTCGATCCCCAGTGGAGGGTGTGCAGGAGGCAGCTGGTCAACGATTCTCATCATTGATGTTCCTATCTCTCCCTCTCCCTTCCTCTCTGAAATCAATAAAAACATTTAAAAAAAAAAAAAAAAGGGAAAGAAAATGACAGTAGGCTGTTGGTCGGAGACAGAGGTCAGCAAAGTACAGCCTGTGGGTGAATCCAGGTTGCTGCCTGTTTCTGTAGATAAAGCTTTCCTGGAACACAGCCACGTTCATTCATTTATGTATCAGCCATGACTGTGTTCACACTGCAGTGGCAAAGTTGAACTGTTGCAACAGACACTACTGGCATTCAAACTCTAATATTTACTAACAGGCCCTTTGAGAAAAAGTCCATGGATTCCTGTGGATCTGTAGATTACAGGTCCCAAAGAGACATAACCAAATGCAGTGTGTGACCTTGTTTGATCCTGGGTCAGCAAACAACAAAACAGTACCCAAACTGAAAGTCACCTCCCAGTTGGACTTTGTATCAGAGGTTATTCATGATAATATTCTTGGTTGTGATAAAGGTATTATGGTCATGTAGCACATTATCCTTATTCTTAGAAGGTGCATGCTGAATTTTATAAGTCCCTACGATGAAAGTATATTACTTTTGTAGTCCAAATAGAAATAACGGAAAGCTCGCTTCTATTAACTTTTTTTCCTGAGGCCAGGCTTATTACTGTATAACCCCCTGTAGTTTCTGTTTAATGCACTGCAGGTGGCTCCTGTAAGCTGGGTGCTGCGCCTCTGTGATGGGCCCCGGTGACTTGAGAGGGCCATGGGGAGGCACCGACCTGGCTCTCAGGAGGGAGGATGACCTCATCGTAGGGCCCCACGATGGAGCTGGCAAACTTGCTGAAGATGATGGGCTCCTTGGGCACGGGCACGTTCTGTTCCTTGCAGTGGTCCACGTAATTCATGCCCACACACACCACCTTGTCTGGCCGTGTGACGGGAGCCAGGAAGGTCACCTCTGACCGTGGTAAGACTGGCAATTGGGCAGCCAGGGCTCTGCAGAGACCGGAGCAGGAGAGAGGGGCTGGATGGGAGCAGCCGGCAGTCCTGGGCACGCTGGGGAGATCCCACAGCAGCTGCAAGTTTTGCTGCTTATATTTTTTAGATCTATCAACCATCAGAGTCAGTGTGAAAATCAAGGCCAGTATCGTTCTTTGACATCAGAGCACGGTTTAATATTTATCCAATGTGGGTTTCCTTTCCCCCATCAGGCAATACATGTCCATGTAAAGGAATTCAGAAGGTGCAGATGGGAGTAACTGGGAAGGCCTTTCTTCTACCCTTTCTCCTAGTCACCCACTGTAGCCTTGGAGAGAGACAGTGCCCTATGCAGCTCTTCACAGCTACTCTATTCTTCTCCTCCTGTCATTTTTTACAAATGATAGCACACTATATACACCTTATTAAAAATATAGATATATTTTAAAGATCTCGCCGTAACAGTTTATTATGGCTGTGTACTACTGCACTATAGAGACACACTCAATTCCCTGTTGACAGATACGGAAGTAGGTTCCAATCTTGGGAGAACATGAAGTTTGGGAAACATATTCTTACCAACACTGTATATTGTCAAACATTTGTATTTTTGCCAGTTTAATAGGTAAAATAATATCTCAAAGTGGTCTTTACTGTTCATCAATACCTTTAGACCAAATGCCAGAGGGCTCCTCCACTTCTGGGAAGTCACCATCTAATCTAGCCCAAACCCAAGAATCATCTTTAAGAAAACCTCCATGCAATTCTCTTTCCCCTAAGAAGCCAAGAGTCCATCACTCCTCCAACTTTTCAAGATGCTATTTAGGACTCCTGGTCCCACCCCCCTCAGGCAGGCAGCAGCTTCACCCCCAGGGAAGTTGTGAAGTGGAGTTTGTGGTCTTTGGATAATCACCCTCCCTGGGCCTTAGTTTCCCCCACTGTGCACTGAGGCTGCTGTCATGTAACATTTCTAAGAATCTTTACTAAGAACAGGTGAGAAAAGAAAGCTGAGGCTACCCTGCTTCCTTGCAAAAGAGCTCCCTGCTGGTTCTGTTTCCCAGGGCAACCACCACAGGGTGATGCTGCCTGCTGATTTACCTTCTCGCCACTGAGAGAGTGGACTCTCCCCGCTCCAGGAACTCTACCATGGTCTTGGGCAGTGTGGGGTCAAAGGCATTGAGGTTGATGACCCCTCCGCCATTCCCTGACTCCAGGCCCAGGTGAGGTCCGGTCAGGTGGGGTGCCTGGAACTGCACCAGTCTCATGTCTCTGGAAGGTTGAAAGGGCCAGCGCTGAGCCTGCAGCAGAGCCGTGAGCAACCTTCTTCTAGCAGGGAACAGCATCCGTCTATAGAGAAAACAGTGGGTCACAGGGTACAGAGGGAGTGGGAGCCATCATCAGGATCCCCATGTTCGAGTTCCAGCCCAAGTTCCTGGCACACCACATGGAAGTGGTCTGGATTTATAAGTTATTTCACCCTCTATGCTTCATAAGGTGGTTTTTTGCTCAATTCAATGCACATAATGAAACCTTTCTAGGGGAGCAACTACTTCATGTCAGGCCCTAAGCTAGGTGCCAGGGAATCCAGCGTTCCTTCAACCAGTGCTTTCTGAAAGCACACACTGTACCAGCAGCACTGAGGCAAACATATAGATGAGACATACTCAGCCCTGCCATTCTGCTCACAAGGAAAACTGATGTTAACAACTGATAAGATTCAGCAATGGGACTCCTGCTGTGATAATCAAGGGTTCTGCAAGGGTGACCAAGGCAGTGTGACGCAGGGGTTTTGTGACCGTGGATAATCAGCCCTCCACGGCCTCAGTTCGCCCCTTTATTAACTGAAGCTGCTGTCATGTAAGATAGCTAAGGCTCTTCAGTAAGACAGGTGAGAAAGGAAAGCTGAGGCTACCCTGCTCCCTTGCAAAGAGCTCTCTGCTGGTTTGGTTTCCCAGGGTAGGGCTTGGTCTAGAGCAGCCGTGGGCAAACTACGGCCTGCGGGCCGGTCCGGCCCGTTTGAAATGAAAAAAACTAAAAAAAAAAAGACTGTACCCTTTTATGTAATGATGTTTACTTTGAATTTATATTAGTTCACACAAACACTCCATCCATGCTTTTGTTCTGGCCCTCCGGTCCAGTTTAAGAACCCATTGTGGCCCTCGAGTCAAAAAGTTTGCCCACCCCTGGTCTAGAGTCTTGAGGAAGTGATGCTGAGCTGCGCTGGGCTAACATGAGCAGGACTAGGAATTAGGTAAGAGTGGGGCCCACCACAGGCAAATGACCCCTGGGAAAATGGCTTCACACCTGCCATAAGCAGTTCTTTAAATGACAATCTGATGGTTACCCTCCTACTTAAAATGCTTCCCACTGCTCCCATTACCAAGCCATAACCCCCTGCTCCAGCCTTCCAGGGGCAGCCCCCACCTGCCTCTCCAGACAGTAAATGCTTAGTTTTTCCTGCTGGAGCCCAGGCTGCCTGAGGGAAAAGGCTGCAGACAAAGGGCAGGGCCTAGGCCTGACGGGCATCACCAGGCTGTCTCCTCTCGTCCACTGTGCCTGGCACGCAGAGGCTCTCCGCTGTTCTCTGTTGAGTGAACAAATGCCTGAGCAGGGGCTGACTTTCCACTACTTGGGAAAGCTTGGTGAGTGTCAACCTCAGGAGGCATGGCTGTGCCTCCCTCTTCAAATCACCTGGAAGGTGCCAAAGGGCTCAGACCCTGTTTCAAGTTCCAGTTCACTCAAAGAGAAATCCCTTTTGTTTTGTTTCTAACCTGTCTGACCTCCAAACAGTCCCTCCCCTACCTGGCTCCTTGCTTTTAAATTCAGCCCTTTATGCTCAGGCATGTGGCGGTTAGTCCCAGACTCCTGGTCCTCCTCTCATGATTCAATCGGCCTTGTTCAGTTAGAGACACATTAGACGCAGGTAACTGATCTAACTACTGTGCTGGCCAATGAGTTTGACCAGAAAAATGGGACTTCAAGCCCAACCATGCCACCGATAAAGGTTGGTCTAGCGACTCTAGCCAAAGTGCTAGCTTTGACTCTAGCTCGGACACTGCACCCGCTAAAATATATACAACAGTAATCACTCCCACTGAATGCCAGGTCTCATTTAAGTGCTTTATCCACAATGTCTGATTTATTTTGATAATTGTTAGTCCATTTTACAGATGTAAAAACTAAGAGTTAGAGAGGTTAATGGATTTTCAATCCATGTCCAGGTGACACTGAAGTTCTTGGTTCAGAAACCAGGCGGTGTGCCAGCAACATAATCTAGCTTTAGCCCACCCCGCCTAGGGCACTTCAGCCCAGAAGGTTGTGGTGAGAAGCAGGGTCCTCCAAGACAGCTTCATGCCCAGGCACTCTACCTGCTCTCGGCCACGCTCGGGGAACCTGGTCACCTGCCGGCTGCCGCCCCAGGGGTAAGGCTGGTTGCTCACCTGCTCTCCCCCAGCCCACACTGACTGACTGCCCTCCCACGTGAACCGCACATGCAGGGTCTCCCTCGTCCTACCACAATCCCCTCGGGCAGTGCGCCCCGTTTTACAGGAAGGGGCACTGAGGCCTCAAGAGGAGCCGTCACCTGCCAAGGTGTCCGTCAGAACGTGGCCCTGGCGCATCAGCTGTTCCCTCTGCAGCAAAGCCCGAGCTCGATCCAACCCTGACAAAGGATGCAGCGATGTGAGGAGGAAAACAGCACCCAAGTGTGTGCCTGGGACAGCGTCCCACCGTCAGTCCCCACGCCCTGCGCCCGGGCCGTCCCTCGGTTTCCCTACGTGCTCAGCGAGGTCCCCTGCATTCAGTGGGCGCCCACGAGCCCGGCGGTGTGGTCTGAGTGGCGGGCCGAGGA